TAATGGTGAACTATTATCTATAGTAGGAGCTCTGGTGGCATAGTGACTAAGGCATTTGACTGCTAACCAGAAGCCTAGTGGTTCAAATCCACCAGTCACTCCTCAAAAGGAAGGTTGGGCAATATACTTCCATAGTGATACTGCCTTGGAAACCCAAGGAGGAGTCACTATGAGTTGAATCCTACTTAACAGCAATGAGTATTATCTATAGCCAGTACTTAGGTGGCATAAACTGTTAAGAGCTTGGTACCAACCAAAAGATCGGCAGTTCTAATCTACCCAAAGTGCCTCAGAGGAAAGTCTTGGAGACCTACTTCCAAAAGATCATGCCAAAAACCCAACCAAATTCACTGCTGTCTAGTTGATTCTGACTCATAGCGACTCCTCCTTGGGTTTCTGAGGCAGTATCTCTACGGAACTTGATTGCCCAGTCTTCCTTCCACCAAAAGATCACCCATTGAAAACCCTATGGAATGCAGTTCTGCTGAGAAACACATGGAATTATCATATAAATAAGAATCAACTTGATGGCAACTCCTCTGTTTTTTGATTTATTATCTATGGCCACCATCTATTTGTCATTTGGTCATACTGTGGTAGCTTACATGTTGCTGTGATGCTGGAAGCCTTGGGACTGGTATTTCAAATACCAGCAGGGCTGCCTGTGGTGGACAGATTTCAGCAAAGCTTCCAGACCAAGACAGGCTGGGAAAAAAGGCCTCGCAATCTACTTCTGAATATTAGCCAATGAAAACCTTATGGATCACAACAGAATACTGTTCAGTATAATGCTGGAAGATGAGCCCTCTAAGTTGGAAGGCACTACACAACACCCACAACAATGAACTCAAACATACCAAGGATCACAAAGATGGCACAAGTCTGGTGACATTTTGTTCTGATATACTTGAGGTTGTCATGAAGTAGAGTGGATTTGATGATAACTAACAGTAACATCTATGACATTAAAACTGGCAAATGACTGACATGCTTTAACTTTAATGATATCAAAGCAAATTGTCCTGGCTTATTTTTCATTAAATAGTATACATCTAATGGAACAGCCTCTCAAGGAGGAAAGGTGTTATAGACATAAGCTCTTTGGCAGAAAGTCTTAGAAAGCATGTTGTAACACATGGAGACACTCTAAGTTCTTAATTCATTTTAAATAATCAAACAGTTGCTTGAAGGAAAAATTATAGAGAATTAATCTTTTTCCTTCAAAAGGCTAGGACTCAAAAGTACATTCACAGATTTTTGTAAATGATCCTGAGTAATAGCCTATCACCTATATGACAAAGGCACAAGTATTCGTCATTGTGAGGAGAGTTTGGTTTGGTACTGGGAGCAAAAAAGCAGCTTTGTTCCAACAGGTGCAAGATATGTGTGTCTTTTTTTTTTTTTTTTTTCCTTTCAATCATTTTTGGAGAAGCTACAAAATTTCACATTACAACCCTGCAATCTTTCTCATTTTCCATTTCCTTCTTTCAACTCTCTGGCCTGTGTTTTCTATCATCTCTAGTTCTAGATACAGAGGGAACCCCAGAAACAAAGCCAAATAAAAACAGAAACAAAACAAAACTTTTTTTAAAAAAAAGATTGTTTGAGTGCTTATTCTATGAGGCATTATGCTAAGAGGACCACAATATTAATTCATTTCATCTAGCAAAAATCATGTGAAGTATTAACACCATTTTAAAGGAAGGAAACTGAGGTAGAGGAAGGGTTCATAACCTTCCCAAGATCACACAGCTCTCAAAAGACTGAACATGATTTGAACTCAGGCATCTGGACAGGCAGAGCAACTCTGCTGCCTAATTCCAGGGGCACCACGTTCATGCACCCTAGAGCTTGTGGGAGGTCTTGTGGACCAGAAACATGATATTAACCATTACATCATACTGTTCTTCTAGATTCTAAACAAAATTTCCAAGAAGGCCAAGTTCATCTTGAAGGACATCCCATCTACTCTCTTTAACACTTCTTTAAACTTCCTAGGACTACTCCAGTGGTATAGCCAGGTTCTAATAACAGCGTGGTGCAACAGCTAAGAACTGAGCTGCTAACCAAAAGGTTGGCCATTCAAACCCACCCAGTGGCTCTGCAGGAGAAAGACCGAGCAATCTACTCCTATAAAGATTACAGCCTAGAAATTTTATGGGAAGTTTACTCCATCAACAGGGTCACTATGAGTACAAAACCAACTCAATAGCAACTGAAAAAACAACAAACAACAGGGAAATAAACTTGGAGGAAGAACTGGAGCAGCTGGCAGCTGGGGGAGGCAGCATTCAAACACCATGTTTTCTGAATGTGTAAAGCCTTTTATCAAAGTCTCAACCACTGTTACTATTATTTATTATTATTATTATTTATTTTTATTGTGGTGAAAACATACACAAGACATTCACCAATGTAACAATTTCCCCATTCACAGCTCAGGGACATTGATGACATTTTTCATGTTGTGCTACCATTACTGCTATCCTTTTCCAAAGTAGTCCACCACCATTAGCATAAATTCAATGCCTTTCCCTGCTTCCTCCTACCCCTGGTAACCACTAATGATCTTTGGTGTGTGTATACATATATAGATAGATAGATAGATAGATAGATGATAGATATAATTTCTTTTTCCCCCAACTTATCTAGGAATTTAGCCTCTCATCCCCTCCCATCCCTGGTAACCAACAAAGAAAGCTTATTATTATGTTTTAAGGGACCACTTTTCCAGAATGGGCACAAAGAGGAACTGTCCCCTTGCTACTGCCCTCATTGCACCCATCCACCCCCAGACTGACTTTCCCTCCTTGATTTGCTATGCTTGGGCAAAAAGAAAGACTTCTATTCTCTAGTCATTTAATTTCCTGTTGTGCTTTGTGATGAACACAGCTGCACTAAGCAGATAATGACAGTTAATTAGTTTCTTTTCTTAGATAAGATATTTATGTAGCCCCACTGTCCCTAGGCCTTAGCTTTTGTGTACAAATGACACCACATTAACCTTAATTCCCAGATTATTCCAGGCCTCAGTCATAAGTAAAATTCCATGGGATGTCTCCATGTGTTCCAGACCAAATCTACCCTCTGAGAGCAGCTATACCCTCTTGTTAATCTGTGCTGGGTGTTCACCAGGGTGGCTGGGGAGCTGCCCTGACCACTGAACACCCTGTTGGGTGCAGCAATCTCCACTGGTACCTGCAGTTGCTCTTCTGGGAGGGTGCTCCCCACTCATGTGGCTAGCTCATGGGTGAGTTCAAGATTCAAGAGTTTGGGGGACCAAAATAACATTCTGTTTGAACCACAGTGTCACACTGCTCAAACTCAACTCACTGCCATCGAGTCGGATCTGACTCATAGCAACCCCTCCTCGGGTTTCTGAGGCGGTATCACTACAGAAGTAGATTGCTCAACCTTCCTTCCAAGGAGTGGCTGGTGGGTTTGAACTGCCAGCCTTTTGGTTAGCTGTCAAATGCCTTACGCACTACATCACCAGAGCTCCTGTTACACTGTTACTTATTGCAAAAATGAGAGAAGGGTAGTCTCTTCTTCAGAGGGGTCAGACCTAGTGCTCAGAGCAGTGGGATGAATGGGTGCTGTGTGGTCTCTCTCACTAGAGGTTCCAGGCATGTGCTGACAAAAGTAGGCCTCTTTGTTCCTAAATATATTCAGGCACAGGTACAGAAACAGAGGGGTCAATTCCACACCCCCATCTCAACTTAGGCTTGTTGATATTTATTTGGGTTTTTGAAGAAGAAATCTGTTACTCAAAAGTCTGATTTTGATATATAGAAATTTCAATTATTGCTTCTCTCCTGACCAATATCAATAGCAAAACCATTGAAACATACACACACTGTGAAATGATAACTAAAATCATCACCGATAAGATGTTAAAAATTAAACACAAAACAGAGAATCAATAATTTAATAGCTGATGAAATACAAGTGCTTTTCAACAGACATTCAGGAAAAAAGACAATAGTACCAACTATTACATAATCAACTCTGATGCAATGACCACACACAGGACATGTTGAAAATGCTGACTGAACTCTATGAACTGAAGTTTCAGGCAAAGTACAGTCACTAATAACTGAATAAGGATTTTCTCAGCATATTACATGCTGGATCCCAAGGAAGACACTTGAACCAAATGAACTATTGGTCTAATTTGGAGAAAATGTTAACTTTCTTCTGGGAATCGTTTTGGAAAACATAGATTTTCCTTTCCAGGCAATTATTTTAATGACTCAATTGGGGTTTCAAGAAATGATTCATTATATTCTATTCGATTTCAGGTTCAGCGAAAAGAGATCAATCGTTCCGTTTTTGGTTCAACCGAGGTCAAGTCCCATGCCTCAAATAGACAATTAGGAGCTTGGATAATTTCATTTTATTTTTCTGTACTTTATTTCCCTCATCCTTCTTTCCATTTCTCTTTTGCAAACATCTGTGGGATCCTTTCTTTTCCTTTCATTGATTTTTTTCTACATTGTCTAATTTCTTCTTCTCTACTTTCCCAAATAAATTTATTCTCAGCTCTCTGGAGACTGGAATGGTGTTCTTTCCTATGCACAACAGTATATTGATGAACCAGGAATGTACCCTTTTATTTATGCTTTCACATTTCTTATACCTAGCTAACCTATATTGACATCATGCTCAGAACATTAACTTTGAACCAACATGACAAACATTTTGAAAGTAACAATATTTTCAACATACAAATGTCCAGAGCAATGCCCAATACAAACACAAAGACAAGTGTTTAAAAAAAAAAAAAAAAAAAAAAGGAGCATCAGTAATGATTTCCCAAGCAACAGATTAAATAGACAACCTATAATATCAATTAAAGAAATGATAGTTCAAAGAAGAAAGAAATGATTTAAAAAAAAATTTAGAATGACAGTATAAAATTGGTGTTAAAATTATGTTGAATCTTGGAACATACACGTTTTTCTTAGATATGAGAAAAATAACTTCCCAGATGTTCTTACCTGTTATGGTGGCTTTGTTGATGGAAGGTTGGTTGCACATGGGTGATCTTCTGACGGAAAGAGAAAAATACAAAGCAGTAAATACGTGGTGCTTATTAATTTGAGTACTCTCTGAGTCATTACATCTAGACCACTTCAATTTAAAGGATTATTTTTAAGATTAAAAAAAAATGAAGACTTCTTTCAGGGCTGCTCAGTCAAGGTCTTAGGGGGCCCTTTGATCTACGACTCAGAGAACACATTTCAACAAAGAAAACTGTTTAACCTCAAAGTGATAGACTTTGAGGTAAATAAAGCTGAAGTAAATGTCACAGGCCATGATAGAAAGGAAGTTCTTATCGACTGACCATAAGTTAGCTGCCGTTAAGTCGATTCTAAATCATGGAGACCCCATGTGTACAGAATAGAACTGCTCCATAGGGTTTTTAAAGCTGTAAGCTTTCAGAAGCAGATTGCTAGGCCTGTATTCTGAGGCATTTGTGGGTGGGTTTGAACTTCTAACCTTTCATCTTGTAGTTGAGTGCTTAAATGTTTATGCCACCCAGGAATTCCTATAGCTGCTCTTTCCCATTTTAATCTGCTCTGTCCCTGTAAATTAGTTGACAACTTCAGTCTTGTGGAGAGTGGAGCTCAGATCATCTTTTTGGAGAGAGTGGGACCAGTCTGATGCCTTCACACCTGTTTGATCAACTGTTTTATAGTAGCTCTGGATGCTGGTATACAAGTGACCATGTCTGAAGGAGGCAGAAAGTGAGTTGCAAAGTACCTTGTGTGCCTTTTAAAGATAAAACTCCACTTTCCTGGGTAACTTTGAGACTTAAAAATTTTAGAAGTGAAAACTAGTAGTTTTATTTTTTCTGCAAGTCTCAAACTTTCCAAAGGGGAGATAGATGATTGCATCTATAAGCTACCAAGAGCCAAAAACGCCAAGTGGCCATTCATGTTAGCACAGCCACATTATATAGAAAACACATGTGGTAATGAACAAAAACCTCAAAGCACACCCCAGGTTTCATATGCTATGTTACCATCTCATTCTTTCAGTCAACAAACATTCACAAAGTGATTATCCTGTGCTAGATACTATGATCAGCACCATGGATACAAATGTGAATAAGATATAACCCCTACTCCCTAAGAAATTATATATATATATGTAACATGGGGAAAAGACTAGAACAAGCGTTTAGACTAGGGAACAAGACTAAAAATTCATTACCTGGCAAGCATACAATCAACTGATGCTTCTGGGTTCCACCCCAATTATTTACATTGTGGCATTTATATTGATTTTTAAAAAACATGCTCTGTTACAGGAAGTACTTACACAATGGCTAGAGCATTTCATAATCAAAATTGTAAGTTTTGAAGGTCAATTATATTATTATGAAATGGAAAGTTCAGATTTTTTGTTTTAAGAAGTAGTAAGTATTTCCAAATGTTATATGCTTAGTAAGTTATAATTCCAAATAAATCTCCATCAATGTCTTCTTATATTGATTTAAAGAAATATATACATATATATATTCTTTTGGAAGATCCATTGGGGTTTATATTTCAACAATGTTATTTTATTGTTAATAATAAAATTCAAAAATAATAAGCATTCAAATAATATTGATCAGATTTCCATTTAGTCTTGGAAACTTAGTTTCCCTTCTAAGATTTTTCACCATCATCAGAACTCCCAAATTATCATTTGCCATCTCACTGCTCCCACATCTTTCAAATTCTTGTTATCACAGAAATCACAATTTTATGACGTGATCCTTGAAGGCTGCTGATCAGAGAGAATCAGTGATAGCAGGAGAACCTAAGATCTTGGCTATGAAATGGTGCTTTACCAAGTAATCGTTGTCTTAGAAGAAAGAGGATGACTTTGAGTTGACTTTAAGACTTGATGAGATGATGTACCCGTGGTTAATTTATGAAGTACGTCAAAACTATAAAGTTACTGCAAGTGTACATAACTGGGCAGAGGACTGACGATGCCAGGTGATTCTGACAGATGGAATCACTGTATTTATTTGTCATATTGCTTCATTTCTGATATTAGAACCATCACACCCAGGTATTTATAGAAAATTAACAGAACATCATATGACTTAGTGTAAACAGTTAGATAACATAGTAACCACTCAGAGAAATCGAATGTTGCCTTAAAGTCATTCAAATTGAGAAAACACCATTTGAAAGTTGAGCAAGAAAAGGAGTGGGGAAAAAATGGATAACATACTTGCTGGGTGCTCGGTCTTGCAAATTGGTTAATGCAGCAAAGTTGTTTCGTACAGTTCGCAGGCTGGCCAAGACCTACAATAAAACAAAGATTATTTAAACTTCTTGAACTAGGCTCATCTTTAATACAATTTGAAATAGTTTGGTGATTTAAAGAAAAATGGTTTGCTGAGTAAAACTTGATATTGCTAGCTATTTAGTTTCATGTACTACTAAAGAACCTCCCAACACTTAGGGAAGCTTGCATTTATCCACTTGAAATCCAGAAAGGTCAGACTGCAAGAATTTTCATACATGTCTCATTATTGTCTATGAAAATAGTAACAGTAATAGCAGTTTCTATAATACTGTTGGATTCCCTTGCCACCAGGACAATCAGGCAATATACAAACAGCATGACTGCATTTTATCCAAATTTGAAATGTTTCAAATTTGAAATAGTGTAATATAAAATATGAATATAAGTCACTATGGGTGAGATTTCAAACAGGATGAATTTTCTAAAAATTCACCAAGAATCACATTATTTCAAATTAAAAAACCTGAGTAAATTTTATTCTTTTCATTTTTGCCATATGAGTACTGCAGCTAGCAAACAGACATTCTTTTCCTTTGTAAAGGTTATCTGAATCCTGGATTACAGCTATCTTAAGGAATCACCTTAATATGCATATATATATTCAAAAGGTAGTTGAATATAGGAATACATAACAACAACAACAACAACAACAAAAAAAAACAAACTCACTGCCATAGAGTCAGATCTGACTCACAGCGACCCTTCCTTGCATTTCTGATGTGATATCACTACTGAAGTAGATTGCCCAACCTTCCTTCCGAGGAGTGGCTGGTGGGTTTGAACCACCAGCCTTCTAGTTAGCAGTCAAATGCCTTAAGCACTATGCCAGCAGAGCTCCCACATGAATACATAGGCACAATGTATCTACATACATGACAAGGTAAGACCAATATGAACCATGATCTCTCTGATAATCCCTCTTTTTCTAATTTGAGGAGGTTCAAATGGTTAATAACTTTAAGACTGGAGGTTCAAGTCCACCCAGAAGTGCCTTGGAAGAAAGGTTAGATGATCTGCTTCCACAAGATCAGCCACTAAAAACCCCAGGGAGCACAATTCTACTCTGATGCACATGGCATTGCCATGAGTTAGAATCGACTTGACAGCAACTGGTATTTTTCCTATTCTAATGGTCCGAGGAGGTGAGGAAAGGACTGGAAGTGAGACTAGGAGGTAAGAGCTACAAGAGCTATCTCCATCTTCCATGCTCACTTTCTCCCAGAATGTGGCTAGTTTCCCTCATGGTGAGGCCTACATTAGGTGGCATTATAGGTCATCTGGATCTAGTATTTGACAACCAGAATGCTATATTTATTTAAAAGAAAGATTTCAAATATCCTATTTGGTACTCAATGGCAAGGTAGACTGTGTTATAGTTGAATTGTGTCCCCGAAAATATGTGTCAACTTGGCTAGGCCACTATTCTCAGTATTATGCAATTATCCTCCACGTTATGATCTTACGTGTTGTAAATCCTAACCTCTATGACATTAATGAGGCAGAATTAGTGGCAGTTATATTAATGAGGCAGGGTACAGTGTACAGAATTAGGATGTATCTTCAGTCAATCTCTTTTGAGATGTAAAAATGATTAAATAAGAGGGCAGAGATAAGATGGATTTCATACCACCAAGAAGTAGAGTAGGGTAGATCCTTTGGGCCCAGGGTCTCTGCCCTGTGAACCTCCAAGACCTAGGGAAAGATTGGTGCTGAGACACATGGAGATATCCAAGGGACACCAATCCCACAGATATTGAAAGGGAACAAGGACCTTCTTGCAGAGCCAACAGAGAGAGAGTGAGAGAGAGTCTTCCCTAGAGCTGGTGCCCTGAATTCAGACTTCTAGCCTCCTAAACTGTGAGAGAAAATTTCTGTTTCTTACACCCATCCATTTTTGGTAGTTCTGTTATAGCAGCACTAGATAAAAAAAGACACCCAGTAGCCCGTGTAACCGTGAACATGGGCAAGTTACATCTTCTTTCTGTACCTCAGTTTTCTCATCTATTGAATTGTAATAACAATAGATATCTATCTCAGAGGGTTGTAAGTAATGATAGGTTAAGGGTGGAGAGTGGTGCCTGGCAAATAGAAAGCATTCAGTAAACATTAGCCCATTACATTTGACTAATGATTTAGCATGTGCATGGGAATTTTACTTAACACCTATCACTGATTTAAAAATAAATAAATAAATAAATAAATAAATAAATAACCTCATTGCCTATGAGTTGGTTCTGACTCACAGTGACCCTTCTTTGGGTTTCCGAGGCATTATCTCTACCGAAGTAGATTGCCCAGTCTTCCTTCTGAGGAGTGGCTGGTAGGTTTGAACCATGAGCCTTCTGTTTAGCAGTCAAATTCCTTAGGCACCATGCCACCAGAACTCCTCCTATCACTGATAATAGAAAGCAAACAAACAAAAAACAAACCCACTGCCATCAAGCTGATTCAGATACCTAACAAACTTATAGGATGGAGTTGAACCACCCCACAGGGTTTTCAAGGATGTAAATATTTATGGAAACACACAGTCCCATCTTTCTCTGTCAGACTGGCTGGTGGGTTTGATCTGCCTACCTTTTCGTTAGCAGCTCAATGTGTTAACCACTTCACCACCAGAGCTCCTTGATAATAGAAAAAACAAACAAACAAAAAAAGAAACTCACTGCCATCGAGTCAATTCCAACTCATAGTGACCCCCATTGGGTTTCTGAGGCTGTAAATCTTTATGGAAGTAGATCTTCTTTCTGCGGAGCAGCTGGTGGGTTTAAACTGCTGACCTTCTGGTTAGCAGCCAAATGACTTATCTACTATGCCACCAAAGGTCTTTTTTGATAATAGAAGGGGCTACCAAATTCCTAATTGCTCCACGGGTTTATTAATCATTTCCAGAAGTGTTTTATCTGTCACTGACTTTCACTAGTCATTCTAAAGTTTTATCTAAGATAAAAATGTCCTAAACATTTTTGAAATTGTTATTCATTCTTGTAAATCACTAAGGAGCTATTTATGCCCTCAGACAGTGACCTACAGTGTTATCCCCTTAAGGAGTTAATGGTGCTTTCTAAGGTGCCAGCCATGATTAACTCAGTCACTGGAAAAACCTGGCTCATTATCACATATAAACAACTCACAGCTCTGAAAGGTCATGCTGGCTATGACGGAGTATTCAAATAGCCACCTGCTGCCATCAGACCATAATGTCTTTCATTAGGCATGAAATCTTGAATGATGCAGGAGTAAATTGTATAAATGATCCACTGTCATTGGATCATGCAGGCTTAATTTATAATGCGCAAAGTGAATATCAAACATACTAATAATGCATTTCAAGTAAAATTATCACCAACTGCTAACCAATACTTTTTCAAGACAAAATTTTTCACCTCAGAATTCTGAGAATTTTATTCTGGTAAATAATAGTTAAGTGCACTGCATTTGACAGCTGGGTAAACAGCAAGAGTATTGCAGTTAATTTTCACTTTAAAGGAAACATTAGTTCATAGACAGTGTACTAAAATTGCTTTTTTGTAGGGAGGTTTTTTGGAACAATTTATTGCAGTTTGGGTGAAAGTTGACAGAGTAAATTAATTTTCCATTCAGCAGTTTATACACATTTTGCTTTGTGACATTAGTTGCTATTCCCTCAATGGAAAGCACTCTTCCCACTTCTTCTCTGTGTTCCCCATTTTCATCTGTCCACTTTTCCTCCCCCCCGACCTGCCTTCTTCACTTTGTTTTTAGGCAAATGCTTCCCTTTTGGTCCTATATGGTTCATTGTCCTGAGAAGCACATTCCTCATGGGTGTTATCGTTTACTTTATAAAGCTGGCTGTTGTTTTGCTGAAAGGTAATCTCTGGGAATGGGTTCAGTCCCAGGTCTGAAGGGTGTCTACAGGCCATAGCCTCAGGGGTTCCATCAGTTTCTGTCAGACCAGTAAGTCTGGTCTTTTTATGATTTTGAATTTTTTTCTACACTTTTCTCACACTCTGTCCAGGACTTACTGTGATCCGTTTAGTACCCCACTACCCACTACTGTGGTAGCTGGGAGCTCTAGTAGCATGGTGCCTAAGGCACTTGACTGCTAACCAGAAGGCTGGTGGTTCAAACCCACCAGCCACTCCTCGGAGGGAAGATGGGGCAGTCTACTTCTGTAGTGATACTGCCTTGGAAACCTAAGGAGGGGTCGCTATGAGTCGGGCACATAACAACAACAACTGTGGTAGCTGGGCACCGTCTAGTTCTTCTGATCTCAGGGTAGTGGAGGCTGTGGTCCATGAGTCTTTGATTTTCTTCACTCTTACTTGCTCTGGATGGAAAGAGACCAATAGTTGTATTTTAAATGGCTACTCATAAGCTTTTAGGTCCCAGGCACTGCTCACGAAAGTATGATGTATGACATTATCTTTATGGACTATATTATGCCCATTGACCTGGATGTGCCCAAGACTCTATGGTCCTTAGCCTTCCAGCCCAGTGACTCAGTCCCTCAAAGTGTTTGGCTCTGCCTATGAAGTTTGCATAAGTTTTCCCCTATATGCTCTACTATATACCTTGATATACTTGCAGCACATACCAACACATATGTACAAATACCCTCTGCCAAATCTACATGTGCTTGTGTGTACTCCCATATGCCATTTCACACTTGTTCAGCTTACATATCTACCTGTTGTAGGGAGGTTTTTTGCCTCAGTTATAATAAAACCAAAAAAAAAAAAAAAACAACTCTCTGTTATCAAGTCGATTCTGATTCATAATGACTCCCAAGGCTGTAAATCTTTATGGAAGTAGATTGCATCATCCTTCTCCTGTGGAGCAGCTGGTGGGTTTGAACTACTGACCTTCTGGTTAGAAGCCAAATGTCTTAACTACTATACCACTAGAACTCCTTCCAGTTACAATAAAGGTATTACATTAGTCTGTTTTGTTTTGTTTTGTTTCTAAATTAAATTTGATGCACTTATTTTTAATAAACTATATCCTCACCTGATGA